TGTGCCACAGCGCCGGCCCCCATCTAGCATCTCTTTAATCAGCTCTAATAATTTTTATTTTTTTGAGTTGTTTATGAAGAAAATCTATTGCATTTGAAAATAGTAACAAATTTATTTTTTATATTCCAATGCTTAAACTCTTCCTTCATCTTCTCATCGCCTTAGCTGGGACTTGTGGTGCATGGCTGAATAATACTAATACAGTGGCCATTACTGATTTGTTCCTGAATTTTTTAAAAGATTTATTTATTTATTTGAAAGTCAGAGTTACACACAGAGAGGAGAAGCAGAGAGAAAGAGAGAGAGGTCCTCCATCCGCTGGTTCACTCCCCAATTGACCACAATGGCCAGAGCTGTGCCAATTCAAAGCCAGGAACCAGGAGCCTCCTCCGGGTCTCCCACATGGGTGCAGGGGCCCAAGAACCTGAGCCATCTTCCACCACCTTCCCAGGCCATAGCAGAGAGCTGGATCGGGAGGGGAGCAGCCAGGACTTGAACCAGCGCCCATATGGGATGCCCATACTTCAGGACAGGGCGTTAACCCACTGTGCCACAGCACCAGCCCCTCCTGAATTTAATTTTTAAGCTTTTATAATTAGATGTGATTTTTGTGTTATGTTTTCAGCAGAAAACCCGTTTGTGGATTAAAGTACCTTCTTTCCTTTTTGGTGGAAGCTTTTATCATAAAGGGTGTTAAATTCTATTTTTTTAGATGGAGGTGCATCTAATCTTGGGTTGATTTTGTCAACAGATTTTCTGTCTTTGACAAATCTCTCTAGCTTTCCTTGAATAAACATTATTTGGTTATAATACACAGACACACACACACACACACACACAAATTATTTCAGACAAAAAGACCAAGGTAATTTACCATCAAGAGGTTTTTCTGAAAAACCTCCTAAAAACTAGTCTTGATTAAAAAGGAGGTAGAGGAGTAGGACTGAGATGGAGGCTATGTGATGCATGAAGAAAAGGAAAATTTGTTCAGTAATATGTGTGTGCATTGGTAAATATACAACAGTATTGATTTTAAGACATTGTAAACTAACATTTTTGTCTTTAAAAAAGGTAGAATTGGGGCTGACACTGTAGTACATAGGTTAAGCCTCTGCCCACAGTGCCAGGATCCCAGATGGGCTCTAGTTTGGGTCCTGGCTGCTCCACTTCCCATCCAGCTCCCTGCTAATGGCCTGGGAAAGTAGCAGAGGATGGCCCAAGTGTTTGGACCCCTGCACCCACATGGGAGACCTGGAAGAAGCTCTTGGCTCCTGGTTTCAGATCATTCCAGCTCCAGCCATTGTGGCCATCTGGGGAGTGAACCAGTGGAGGATGATCTCTCTCTCTCTGTCTCCTTCTCTATGTCTTAACTCTGCCTCTCAAATATCTCAAATAAATAAATAAAATTTTTAAAAGAAAAAATTAAATGTAGAATTAAATTTTTGGATTCAATCTGCTAATACTTTAAGATTTTAACCATCTACCGTGATAAGTGACATCTGATTTTAAGATTTTAGCATCTATGGTGATAAGTGACCTGTGTCTATGATTTTCATCGCTTGCCTTGCCCTTGACTGATTTTGTCATGATGGCTGTACTAGCTTTGATAAAAAGAAATGGATAGTTGTCCTTTTCTGTATTCTCTGGAATAGTTTATATAAGACAGGGGTTCTGTAAATTAGATGTTGCCTGTTCCTTGAATCCATCAGAAATTGTTTTCCTTTAAAAAAAAGATTTATTTATTTATTTGCAAAGCAAAGTTACAGAGATGCAGAGGCAGAAAGAGAGAGGTATTCCATCTGTTGGTTCATTCCCCAAATGGCCACTACGGCTGGAGCTGTGCTGATTCGAAGCTAGGAGCCAGGAGCTTCTTCCAGGTCTCCCAAGTGGATGCAGGGGCCCAAGCACTTGGGCCATCTTCTACTGCTTTCCCAGGCCACAGAAGAGAACTGGATTGGAAGTGAAGCAGAAGGGACTTGAACCAGCGCATATGGGATGTGGGCACTACATGCTGCAGTTTTATCTGCTACAACACAGTGCTGGCCCCAAACTGTTTCCTTTTATAGAAGTGTTTTTTTTTTTTTTTTTTTTTACTATGGATATGATGATTTAAATGGAACTGACACCTTTAGATTGTTCATTTATTCTTGAATCAATTTTCAGCATTTATATCTCCTTTAAACACTTTCATATCTATTTTCTTTCTTTCTCTTTTTTTTTTTTTCTATTTTTAAAAAGATTTTATTTAGGCCGGCACCGTGGCTCAACAGGCTAATCCTCCGCCTAGCGGTGCTGGCACACCGGGTCCTAGTCCCGGTCGGGCCGCTGGATTCTGTCCCGGTTGCCCCTCTTCCAGGCCAGTTCTCTGCTGTGGCCCGGGAGTGCAGTGGAGGATGGCCCAAGTGCTTGGGCCCTGCACCCCATGGGAGACCAGGATAAGTACCTGGCTCCTGGCTTCGGATCAGCGCGGTGTGCCAGCAGCAGCGCGCCAGCCGCGGCGGCCATTGGAGGGTGAACCAACGGAAAAGTAAGACCTTTCTCTCTGTCTCTCTCTCTGTCCACTCTGCCTGTCAAAAATTAAAAAAAAAAAAGATTTTATTTATTTATTTGACAAGTAGAGTTACAGACAGTGAGAGGGAGAGACAGAGAGAAAGGTCTTCCTTCCATTGGTTCACTCCCCAAATGGCCGCAATGCCCAGAGCTGTGTCAATCCAAAGCCAGGAGCCAGGAGCTTCTTCCTGGTCTCCCATGCGGGTGCAGGGGCCCAAGGACTTGGGCCATCTTCCACTGCCTTCCCAGGCCATAGCAGAAAGCTGGATTGGAAGAGGAGCAGCTGGGACTAGAACCGGTACCCATATGGGATGCTGGTGCCGCAGGCAGAGGATTAACCTACTGTGCCACGGCGCCGGCCCCTTTTGTATCTATTTTCAAATTAACTGATATAAAGCTATGAGTTACGTTTTCTTGTGACCTTTTAATCTCCTAAGGTTATTTTCCATTTCAATCCTAATATTGTTTGTGTCTTCCCTGTTTTCTTGGTCAGTCTTATCAAAGTTATGCAGAAATTGTTAGTATTCATAATTAGTATTTTCAAAGAACAAGGTTCTAATTTTATTGGTCTATCTCTATTGTTTTTTTTTGTTTTGTTTTGTTTTGTTTTGACAGGCAGAGTGGACAGTGAGAGAGAGAGACAGAAAGAAAGGTCTTCCTTTGCCATTGGTTCACCCTCCAATGGCCGCCGCAGCCGGCACACCACGCTGATCCGATGGCAGGAGCCAGGTGCTTCTCCTGGTCTCCCATGGGGTGCAGGGCCCAAGCACTTGGGCCATCCTCCACTGCCTTCCCGGGCCACAGCAGAGAGCTGGCCTGGAAGAGGGGCAACCGGGACAGAATCCGGCGCCCTGACCGGGACTAGAACCCTGTGTGCCGGCGCTGCAAGGTGGAGGATTAGCCTAGTGAGCCGCGGCGCCGGCCTTATTGTTCTTTAAAACTTGTTTGTTTCTATTTCCTTCCTTAGAGTTTCCTTTTTTGTAGCTTATTTTGAACTCTCAGCTCATTTATGTTCAGTATTTTCATAATTGCCTAATAAACTGTAAACTTACTTCCTAATACCACTTAAATGGACTCCACCAGTTTTTAATATGGAGTATTTCCTTTGTCATAATTCTCATGATAAATTCAAGTGAAGCATGTTTTCTAGTTTTTGTTCTGTAACTCTACCATTTTCCATACCGAGGAGTTTTGTTTTTGCTTTTTTTGTTTTGGGTAATACTTCTGACAATGTTTTACTTTCCATCTTTTGAATTTTTAAAAAAATGTTTAATTTATTTGAAAGGCAGAGTTACAGAGAGGCAGAGAGAGAGAGAGAGAGAGAGAGAGAGAGAGAGGTAGAGACAGAAAGAGAGGTCTTCCATCTGCTGGTTCACTCCCCAGTTGGCCACAATGACTGGAGCTGTGCTGATCTGAAGCCAGGAGCCGGGAGCTTCTTCTGGGTCTCCAACACAGGTGCAGGGGCCCAAGGACTTGGGCCATCTTCTACTGGTTTCCCAGGCCATAGCAGAGAGCTGGGTCAGAAGTGGAGCAGGCTATCTGACAACTCAGGATTACCTTTATTAATTATTTTAATGTTAATATCTCAAAGGTCCTTGCTGTCTATTCAGATAAGAATTCTGAATATCGACTCAAATAAAACAAGCAATCTGGTAAGGTTTAGCATTTATTTAATGAGAGAAACACACCCTGTTTGACCTAAAGTAAACACCAAAATAAAAATTATTAGTGTGTTTCTCGGTGGGGCCAGTCAGCAAATGCTGGGGGGCAGGGGTGAGGGTGGACGCTGGGACTCAGAGGAACGGGTGGGGAGGAAGCCTTCTTTTCCCTTGAGACCAGAGGGAAGGTCCAGCTACGGAAGGGAGTGTTGTTGACAATGACAGTTTTCCAACCAGGACAAAATTCATGGGGCGAGCAGGTCAGGAGGCAGAAAATCACCAGGAAGAAGGAAGAAGCATAGCCACACCAGTCATAGCACACACAAAGCGAAGAGTGGGCCGGCACAGCCACAGCTTGGGAGACCTGCAAGAGGGAGAGTTTCCCTCTTCCTTCCTGGCATGTGCTCTCTCCAGCTCTGGTTCTGCAGACAGATGACCAAGGCATTACTCAACTGGCTGCGACCTTTCCAGGGATGCCATCCAGCCCCTCCACTCCTACCTGATGCTGCTGGGAAGTCCTTTGTCAGTGGACTTTGGTGCCCTGGTTCTTTGATCTCAGTCAACTGCCTTTATCAGTCCAAAGTTCAAGACTGCTTACTCCACTTTATAGGCAGCAAATGTACTTTCACAATGTCCATTTATTCTCAAGAGGTAGCCAGGCAGGATTGTCTCTCCCTTTCCTTCTCTTTAGAATGCTCCAAATTCTTGCTCCTCTGTATCATTTTTTCCTCCCTCCCTGCTCCTCTAGCTAATTGACAGAATCTTTGACGTCCACCTGCTGTTTCCTTGTCCCTTCCTACAGCCAGTGTCCACAGCAGACCTCCAGGCTTCCTGCAAACTTGGGTTAGTCTGCTTGCTCTGTGATGGCCAGGCAACAGTCTCCCATGGACCTGCAGCAGGAAGTGATCTGCCCCATCTGCCTGGAGATTCTGCAGGAACCTGTCACCACTGACTGCGGGCACAATTTCTGCCTCCAGTGCATCACTCAGGTGGCGGAAGCCTCAGGCGATTTCTTCAAATGCCCCCTCTGCAACAGTTCTGTGAGGAAGAATGCATTCACACTCAACTGGCTGCTGGTGAACCTGGTGGACAGAATCCAAGCTATAGATCTCTCTGAGATGCGGCCGGAGGTAGAGGACGAGGAGGAGGAGGAGGAGATGAGATGTCCGAAGCATGGGGAGAAGCTGCATTACTTCTGCGAGCTGGATGGAAAATTCCTCTGTGTGGTGTGCTGTGGATCTAAGGACCACAAATCCCATAACACCAGCTTGATAGAAGAAGCTGCCCAGAGTTATCAGGTAGGCATGTGGAGCCCCCTTGCTGAACAGGAGTTCAGTGATCTGGAAACTGCTGCCTCCTGCCTGTGGATTTGCATTCCATGGCTCTGCACATTACGCTTAATGCCCACTGAGCCCAAAGTCCTGAGTCTGGGGAATTGGTGTCTGTGCAGATCAAGGAATAATGGAGAATGGAAAAGATACAGAATTTTGATTCAGAAGAGGTGGGCTCAAGTCCAGACTCGTGAGTTCACTATGCGACTTTCAAGGAATCCCTTTGGGTCTCAGCTTTCAAATCAAGCATAGCTCTTCAAACTGCTGGTAGGACGTGTGAGGGAAGGTTTGTGGGAGCGCTTTGAGAACCTTGAGCACCCCAAATACTACTCATAATAAGTCATAACAACTCTCTGCTCTTTTAAAAAAAATCTCATTTATTTATTTGAGAGGCAGAGTTACAGACAGAGAAGGAGAGACAGAAAAAGGTCTTCCATCCGCTGGTTCACTTCTCAGATGGCCGCAGTGGTCGGAGCTGAGCCAATCTGAAGCCAGGAGCCAGGAGCTTTCTCCAAGTCTCCCATGTGGGTGCAGGGGCCCAAGCACCTGGGCCATCCTCCGCTGCCTTCCCAGGCCACAGGCAGAGAGCTGAATTGGAAAAAGAGCAGCCGGAACACCAACTGGTGCCCATATGGGATGCTTGTGCTGCAGGTGGAGATCCAGCCAACCAAGCCAGAGAGCTGGCCCCTGCTCTGCTCTTTTAGGTCCCTTGGGTTCCAGTTTCTCAATTCCCATCATTCCTCCCCCACCCCACCCCCCAGCTTGAGAAAGGAGGGTGGATTAATAATTACCCCAGAACTCCCCAGTCTGCTCTCTGGAGAGAAGGGAGGGTTTTATGAGACCAAGAGCATGCATGCAGCGCCTTGGGCTGAAGGTCACTCTCTCCACAGGGGCAGATCCAGTCTCGGGTCAGGCTCTTGAGGCAGAAGGAGAAGGAAATAGCACACAGGAAGGCACAAAGTGAAGAGAAGATCGACTTCTTCATGGTAAGGAACAGCTCCACCCTGTGGGCCTCAGAATCAGAAACAACTCCTCTGCCAAGCCTCTAGAACCCTTTATCAAGCAGACTCCTCAGTGACAGCCCCGGCAACAAGGAGACAGCTGTGCCGGGAGGGACAGTCTGTGGCCTGCTGAGGACATGTTCTCAGCCTTCCTGCACTAAGCACTTGACCTGCATGGGTGGCAGCACCTTCTGTTAGGAGAGCAGGCTGTCTGCCTCTGTCTCCTGCACCTACCGACCTGCACCTCACTGGCCGTCCACCACTATGAGGCCCAGCTCCCCCTCACAGGCCACAGCCAACTGGAGGTTGGTTCCCCAGATGGGAAATGAAGAAGTCGTAACACCACCCTTTCTATGGTTTTTTGCTTTGTTTTTGGTGTGTCAGAGGAAAATCTATGTGAAGGCAGATTGAAACTGAAAAATCTTCTGGAAATATGAGTTTTACACAGGTTCTTGAAAGCAAAAATGAAGACATAAATGATAACTGAATATGACACTGAGCACAAAGGAAAGCATAATTTATTTAAAAATTAAAGATGTTTTATTTATTTATTTGAAAGGCAGAGTTACAAGAGGGAGAGGAAGAGACCTTCCATTTGCTGGTTCACGTCCCAAATGGCCACAATAGTGAGGAGTTGGGCCAGGCAGAAGCCGGTAACCCTGAGCTCCATCCAGGTCTTCCATATGGGTGGCAGGGACCCCAGTGCTTGGGTCTTCCCAAGCACTTGTCTTCCTAGGTGCATTAGCAGGGAGCTGTATAGGAAGTAGAGCAGCCAGAACACAAACTTTGATATGGGTCAACTTCCTTGTAAGCAACGGTTAACCTGCTGTGCCACAACACTGGCCCTGGAAGTGCTTTTAAAAGTTTGTTCTTGGGACCAGCATTGTGGCTCAGAGGGTTAAGCCATTACCTTCGATGCCAGCATTTCGTATGAGCACTGATTCCAGTGCCAACTGCTCTACTTCTGATCCAGCTCCCTGCTAATGTACCTGGGAAATCAGTGGAAGGTGACTCAAGTACTTGGATCCCTGTCACCCACGTAGGAGACTTGGATGAAGTTCTTGGCTCCTGGCTCCAGTCTGGCTCAGCCCAGGCTATTGTGGGCATTTGAGAGTAAACCAGCAGATGGAAGATCTCTCCCTCTCCCTCTCCCTCTCCCTCTCCCTCGCCCTCGCCCTCGCCCTCTCTGTCACTCTGCCTTTCAAATAAACTAATTTTTTAAGAAAAAAAAAAGTTTGTTCTCCTCATGTCTTCTCACGTCTGCCACAGCACACTGTTCTATGTTGATACTCCGTCTAAACAAATAAAAAAATGTAATAAGGTGGGCTGGAAAGACGGTTGAGGCCACCTCTTCTCTCTCTCTCCCTGTCCCTCACCCCCAGGCCCAGGTGGATTTAGAGAAGCAAAGGATCCTGGCTGAATTCGAGCATTTGGGGCAGGCCCTAAAGGAGGAGAAGGACTTCCTCCTGTCCCGGATCACATGGCTGGGGCTGGAGGAAGCCAAGGAGGGTAAGGTCTACAACACTGCCACCCAGGCACAACTCAACTCTCTCAGGAATCTCACGGACCGCCTGGAGGCCAAGCAACGAATGCCACCCCAACAGCTGCTGAAGGTGAGTCCCTCGGGGATAGAATCGCAGCCAGGCAGAGCCAGGCCCTAGTCTCTGGCCAGAGCACCCAGTGCCTGCCAGGATGCCGGAGACTGCTCTAGCCTAGCACTGCCCAGTAGAAACAGGTGAAGCTGATACATATACTTTAGAATCACAGCGCGAGCCACACGTGTAATTTAGAAATATAATGTGAGCTACTACATGGTATAATTTAGAAATATAATGTGAGCCATGCATGTAATTTAGAAACACATTACGGCCGGCGCCGCGGCTCAATAGGCTAATCCTCCACCTTGCGGCGCCGGCACACTGGGTTCTAGTCCCGGTCGGGGTGCCGGATTCTGTCCCAGTTGCCCCTCTTCCAGGCCAGCTCTCTGCTGTGGCCAGGGAGTGCAGTGGAGGATGGCCCAAGTGCTTGGGCCCTGTACCCCATGGGAGACCAGGAGAAGCACCTGGCTCCTGCCTTCGGATCAGCACGGTACACTGGCCGCGGTGGCCATTGGAGGGTGAACCAACGGCAAAGAAAGACCTTTCTCTCTGTCTTTCTCTCTCACTGTCCACTCTGCCTGTCAAAAAAAAAAAAAAATTACAAGCCACCTGCAAGAAAACTTCAAAATGCTAAAGGGCGAGTATTTGATGCATTGGTTATGACGCCACTTGGGCCGGCACCACAGCTCACTAGGCTAATCCTCTGCCAGCGGTGCCGGCACCCCGGGTTCTAGTCCCAGGTGGGGTCCGGATTCTGTCCCAGTTGCTCCTATTCCAGTCCAGTTCTCTGCTGTGCCCTGGGAAGGCAGTGGAGGATGGCCCAAATGCTTGGGCCCTGCGCCTCCATGGGAGACCAGGAGGAAGGACCTGGCTCCTGGCTTCGGAACAGTGCAGCGCACTGGCCTCAGCACACTGGATGTAGCAGCCATTTTGGGGGTGAACCAACGCAAAAGGAAGACCTTTCTCTCTGTCTCTCTCTCTGTCTAACTCTGCCTGTCCAAAAAAAAAAAAAAAGGTGCCACTTGGGGCACCCATATCCCTTATGGCAGTGCCTGGTTGAAGTTCTATTTCCACTTCCCACCCAGATTCCTGCTAATGTGTATCCGGGGACCCTGGGAGGAGGCAGGTGATGGTGCAAGTAATAGGGTCTTTGCCATCCATGTGGGAGACCTGACTTCTACCTGGCTCAGCCCTGGCTGTTGTGAGCATTATGGGAGTAAACCAGCAATGGTCTTTCTCTCTCTCTCCTTTTCAAATAGATAAAAATTATATTTTAAAAAAATTTGTGAAAAACTGAATTAAAAGATACATTAATTTGGGTGCAAAAAGTTGAAATATGAGAGGTGCTCAAAAAGTTCATTAAAAATGCATTTAATGGAGGCCGGCGCTGTGACTCACTTGGTTAATCCTCCGCCTGTGGTGTCGGCATCCCATATGGGTGCCGGGTTCTATTCCTGGTTGCTCCTCTTCCTGTCCAGCTCTCTGCTGTGGCCAGGGAGTGCAGTGGAGGATGGCCCAAGTCCTTGGGCCCTGCACCCCATGGGAGACCAGGAGAAGCACCTGGCTCCTGCCATCGGATCAGCGTGGTGCGCCGGCCACAGCGCGCCGGCTGCAGCGGCCATTGGAGGGTGAACCAATGGAAAAGGAAGACCTTTCTCTCTGTCTCTCTCTCACTGTCCACTCTGCCTGTCAAAAAAAAAAAAAAAAAAGCATATAATGAAAACACTATTAACTGACTTCAAATTTTTTTGCCATAAAATAAAACTATATTTTAATTTTATTTTCCATGGAGCTTTAAAAAAAAGATTTATTTATTTGAAAGGCAAAGTGACAGAGAGGGTGGGAGAGGGAGAGAGAGGAGAGAGGTCTTGCATCTGTCAGTTCCCTTCCCAAATGCCCAGAATAGCCAGGGCTGGGCCAGGACAAAGCCACGAGTCAGGGACTCCGTCCTGGTGGTCCACGTGGGTGGCCGGGGTTCAAGTACTTGCGCCATCACCTGCTGTCTTCCAGGTCTAGTGGCAGAAAGCTGGATTGGAAGCACAGTAGTGGGGGCTTGACCTGGCAGTCTGATTTGAGATGTAGGCACCCCAGGTGGTCGCTTAATCTGCTGGGCCACAACACACAGCATACTCTGTAATTTAACGTTTTCCTAGTAGCCCCATTAAAAAGAAACAGGTGAAATTAATTCCAATAAAATATTTAACTTAATATATCAATCAAAATCATCAATATTTTTAAAGTAATAAAGAGATATTTCACATTCTGGAGGGGTGTCTTTTGTACTGAGTGTTTGAACTCTAGTGTAGAGTTTGCATGTCAGCACCTCTCAGCTCAGATGCTTAATTGTCAGCTGTTGAAGGAAAATGTGGTCCTACTAAGTTGAGAGAGTTATTTTTAATGGAAACAATGTTTTACGCTGCTTTGGCCTTTAAATTTGAATCAGTGAAAAGTCAGTTTAATTAAAAGTCTGATTCCTAGCGCACTAGTTTCAAGCATTCGGTAGCCAGTCAGCGCAGGTCCAGCTGATGCACAAAAAAAAGTCGAGATGATCCCTCTTGAACCCATCTCCTATGGTGCTGGCTCAAGTGTCCTTTTCTTTCTTTCAAGAAAAGTTCATGCAAAGCCACTCCAACCTTTCTCCTGCCCCAGGGAACAGGGCTCCCCTCAGTTCAGGATCTGAGACATTCATTTGCAAAGTTTCATTCTCTGGACAGCCAACCACTTCTCCACCTGGTGCCACATTGGTGCTTCTTGGAGGAGTCCTCCTTGTGGGTGGGAAGAGAAAAGCAGAGAGAGAGTGAGTCTTAGAGACGCTCTCACTCCACCTGCTCTGCCCACACCCAGCACCCTCCCTGACACCTGTGAACCAGCCAAGTGCTGATGCCATGCTGTTTCTATTTCTCTTCTAGGGCATCAAAAGTATCTTGCACAGGTAAGTGCATTTTGCCTCCAGATTCATCCCTATGTGCACTCAGCATATATAGAGATACTCAACATTCCTCGCTCACAAACACCCACACACCTAACTCTGCAGTCAGGTATTTAGGCTGCAGGGGCGGGAGTTGGGAGCTGAGCACATGAGTGTATGAATTGGCTGTTAAAGAGAGGAGCTCTTCTCTCCAGCTTCCTGGTGCTTTGGCACAGCCTCCTGGTGGTTCCTACTGGCCCTTTGCTCAGTGGGATGCCCCGGGGTCCCGCCTCCCATCTCCCTGCCTCTTCTCCTTTTCTACTTCTCTCTTTCTCCTTCTCTCATCTGCATTCCCACGTCCCTTTGTGCACCTTCTCGCTCCAGCCCCATATCTCTAGTGCTGGCCTGCTCATCCACCGCCACCCCCAAGAGTCCCTCCCCACGTGGCTGGGTCAGGGTCTCCCCTTCCCCTTCTCCCCTCCCCTGGTCTCAGCACACAGCTCCACCGTGTCCTCCTAGGAGTGAAGAGTTTCAGTTTCTCAGCCTACCCCCAATTCCTCTGGACCTGGAGAAAAAACTCAGTGAAGCAAAGTCAAGACATGACTTCATCACTGAGAACCTGAGGAGATTCAAAGGTAAGGCATGGGCTGAGCGAGGCCTCTGTTCTCCTACCTGGGGGATTCTCTCCCTGCCAGTGACCACCATGGCACTGTTCCAACACCAGGGCCTCCCAGCATTGCTGCACTGCCTTCAGGCATTTCTCACATGTGTTGGTCATCAGGGTCCTTGTCTATACCCTACCCCGACTCTTGTGCTTGCCACAAAAGGGGCCCTGGCCTTGGGCCCCATGTGGCCCCCGGGCCAAGTATAGGGTCCGTGGACCAGAGAGGAGGCAGAATCCTGCCTTCCCAGGGCCCCAGGCAGCGACTACATGATCTCTGGCAAGTGGCTTTTATTTCTCTGGTGCATACAGCTGTCTCTGACTGCGGTGGAGAAAGTGGGTTCACAGTTAACGCTGCTTGGGTGAAATCCTCTTGTATCCTTTCAGGAAAACAGAAATCAGCCAGAAGAGAAGTGTGTGACTTGGGGTTTGGATATTCAGTCACGTATGTAGGAAAAACTCCTCTGGGTTTGCATCTAGGAAGAAGGGTTGGTGTCTGTAAGGATGCCCTTCCCCTCAAAGGCAGTGCTTGCCTAAGCTGAGAGTAAAGATGGCTGAATGGAGTCTTCTTCCTAGAAACAGCACAAGAGCCTCCCCTGCCAGGACCTCCCAGGCACCGAATGGAAAGGAGACGAGAGCAAATTCAGAACCCACCCCCCTCCACATTCAACCAGGAGTCTCCACTGGGCAGACCAGATAGGGAACCATGTCTTGGTTTTGTTCTTACATTTGTCTGAGCTTTGCTTTCTGTGTGTTAGCATTCCCACCCCACTGGGTACAATGGCAACTGACCCAGCAAGTTTATAGTCATCTCACATCTAAAACACCTTGGTTCCTGTTTAAAGCTTCAACCAAGGGGTCCCCTTCCTTTTCATCACAGGCAACATTTGAGAGAGGAAGAGATAGGCATGGTCTGTTCTTGCTTCTCTCTCACACAATACACACACACACACACACACACACACATCCCCCAGCCCCCACTGGCCCCATCAAGGCCCAGGGAATGGAGGGATGGTGGGGTATCTACTTGTCCCATTGGCCCAGGCTACTTAGATCCCTGTTCTGAGGGTCATGGTCTCTTGCAGGGGGAGTGGCAGGGTCTGGTAGCCCAGCACCCAGAGATGGAGGTGAGGTGGTGGGAACCATACTGCCTGCAGGGTTTGTGGGCCCAGTACTCCCTGACAAGGCTTCCTTGTCTCTGGCTCTGGGTTTGCAGACCCCTTGACAAGAGTGCCAGGAGTCTCCGTGGGGTGCTGCCCACAGCTGAGCTGTGGCTCTCAGGGGAGCTTCCCACCTTCTCCCTGCAACCCCAGGTCTTTTCTTTGTTCTGGAGCTGCAGGGCCCTGCATGACGGGTGTACAGTGGCCTGGAGGAAGGCCCTGAAGCTCTGAAGTCCAGTACCCAACCCCAAATCCACGCCAGGAAGGGGCCAGTGTGTCCTGACTGCATGGAGGAGTCCCTTGTCCCCGGCCCTATTTTTGGAAGGGGTGCACAGCCACAAGGCCCCCTGTATCTGCACAGGGAGGGAAGGGGCTGTAAGCTTCCAACTCCAGGGTCTCTGTCTCCCTTCTCCTCTCAGGGGCAGGAAGATGGGATTCCCATCCAGACCTTAGGGTTGTGGCAGCCCTCATATTATACCCTCTTCCTGTATGGTAGTCCCATGGCAGGCCTCCTCCTGAAGCTAAAGGGTAAGGCCTCAAGGCGCTTTTTCCATGCTGTCAGGTCATAAGGAAGGGGCTCAATCCCCGCTGCCCAGTTCAGTGGCTCCACGTGTGCCTGGGTCACTGGAAATGTGACTCCTCCCAACACAAAGGCCCTGCCAGTGAGCAATACTCACCCCGCAAGGCTGAGCATGAAAACAGAATGTAGTACAGCAATAATTGCTCACTCTGCATGCTAAAATGACAGTCTTTAGAAAACAGAGTTAAGTAAATATATAATTAAAATTCATATATAATCAAATCAAATTCATATATAATCAAAAAAAGTTTCTTCCTTTTTTTTTTTTTTTAAAAAGGTTTATTTGGAAGGCAGAGCATCAGAGAGGATGAGGGGGAGAGAGAAAGAGAGAGAGAGAGAAAGGGGGGGGAGAGATATCCCATATGCTGGTTCACTCCCCATGTGACTGTTCTGGCTGGGCCAGGCTGAAGCCACAAGCCAGGAACTCTTTTGGGCCTCCCACATGGATGGCAGGGGCCCAGACACTTGGGTTATCTACTGCTACCTTCTCAGGCTCATTAACAGGGAGCTGGATTGGAAGTGGAACAGCCAGGACACAAACTGGTGCCCATACGGGATGCCAGCATTGCAAAGGGCCAGTTAACTTGCTGCACCAGAGTGTCAACCTCTCTTCTTGGTTTTTTATTGTAACCACTGGAAAAAAAAATTTCTTAAAGATTTATTTATGTACTTGAAAGTTAGAGTTACAGAGAGAGGGAGAGACAGAGAGTGAGAAAGAGATCTTCCATCTGCTGGTTCACTCCCCAGATGGCTGCAATGTCCAGGGCTGAGCCAGGCCTAATCCAGGAGCAGGAGCTTCATCCAGGTCACTCGTGTGGGTGTCAGGGACCCAAGCAGGTAGCCATCACCACTGCCTCCCAGGATGCCCATGAGCAGGAGGCCGGAATTGGAAGCAGAGCCATGGGCATCAGGTGTCCCAGCAGCATCTAAAGCACTGCAAATTTACCTTTTAATTCCATCTTTTCAAAGTCCTCCCGAAAGAGCAGCTTGAATCCGCAGGTCACATTAGATGTGCACAGGACCCTGGGGAAGCAGAGCGGCTTCGCTCAGTGCTTCACATACACTACAAAAAAAATGCAGCTTGCTCCGCCAGGTGATTCCAGTCAGGGCCTTGCCGTGCGGCCTGGGGGTTCCTTGCTCTGGTCTCCGGTCCCTCATTCCTCCTGTTCTCTACCCTCAGACACCCTCCAGGCTGACAGGAAGAAAGATAAAAGCAAATTCCTCAAAGGCATGAATGAAAGCCACACCAAGAGCTGTGAGTAGCAGAGGAGACTGACTTCCTGCCATTTGGGGGAAAGTGAGACATTCACAGGGCAAAGAATTCCTTCTGTGGTTACGCGGGGACTCCTTCTGCCACCCACCCGGAAGATGAGAACTATGTGAATGTCTTCTTTTAAACCCGGGTCATTCACAGAACAGTAACAAATCCTACAACCAAAATATTCAAAAGTAATCAGAGATTAGAGACTGATTTCTTCCCTACTCAGAGCCAGGGAGGATATCCAATGGACAAAGAGGAGGTGGAGGTAGTTCCATCTCTGCAGTACTAGCTGCCCCAGCTGGGCCTGCACCATGTTCCTGGACAAAGTCCCAAGGGGGCATCAGGACAACTGGGGGATGGAGCTACACTGGACAGAGATGGCTCTGCTGCCTGCCCACAACACTGAAGGCCTGTCTTGTGCAGCCCCACCGTGTGCCAAGAACCCCACACCTGTGCCCCAAGGTGGGCATCCCTGCCTGAGTGTACAGTGAGCACCCTGCAGCTCCTGGGAACTGAGAGGGGCTTTCTGGGTCAGGTGGCCAGGAACAGAAAGAGATAGGATTAGAGCCCTCTTCTCCAACTCCAGGGACACAACCACTGAAAACCAGCCAGCAGGGTCTAGGGATTGTACTGTTCCCCTGTGCCCCTCTCTACTGGCATGGAGACCATGACTGCGAGCTCCATGGCCTGTGCCAGCTCAGGGTTTACCACCGCCAGGCCCCAGTGGCACAGGCCAGCAGCGAACCCCGCAACTGCTGACCCTGAGACCAACCCAAAGGTTTCCACACTTCTGCTTGGGGAAGCCCACTGGTGGCTGCCCTTACTGATGGTGGTGGTGGTGGTGGTGGTGCAGCCTCTGAGTATCGAGTCAGCTTTCTCTCCCCAACTTCTAGGGTGCCTGTTTGAGAAACACAATCCTAACCCAGACAACACCTCCACGCCTGAGCCATCCTCCCCAGGTAGGCAACAGAAACTCCCTGCGGTGGCTGGCGGGGCGGCACCGCGGGCCAGGGTGGACCCCAGTCTGCCGAGGAGCTGCCCAGCGCGTGTCGTCCACCCTCGCCACGGCTGACTGAACGTGGATGCGACTAGGGAAGGCACAGAAATCTGGGCTCGGGCAGTCGGAGGGAGACGGTTGGTGAGGAAGGGGAGGCTGTGGCATCTGCGGGCCTCGAAGACTTCAGGTGCGGGAGATGGCCTGGGCGGATATGGGGTGCGGGGGTGGGAGCAGGCTCCCTCCGCCGCTGCCCAAATTGCACCACCCGGGAGTGAGCTGCCCAAGTTTCACCTTGCTGCCGGGGATCTATCTGGCTTTTCTCCTTTGCTTCTCCCTCCAAGGCAACGGAAACCCAGCAAGTCCCCAGCCCCCACCGCTACTCCACTCCCGCTTTCGGGCCTCCTTCATTGGCACAGTCTCCGGGATAGAACTGCTACTGCCCCGCAGCAGAGCCTCCCTCGCCAGGGCTCCTGGAAACCGCACCAGCGCCGCGAATGTGGAGAGCTCCCGCGCCGCCACGCGCACTGCAGAGCTCCGGGAGGCGCTGAGTGAGTGGCGGAAGGCGAAGGGGTCCCAGGTTGAGCGGAGTCGGGTGGAGGGGGGCAGCGAAGGAGCACGGAGAGCGGGGTGGTGGCGGTGGCCGCCGCGTTGTGGAGCCAACCGCGAACTGTTCCACGCGGGCCGTCTGCTGGTCGCCTTGCCTGTGGTGTCCTCTAGTGGACACTCGTAGTCGCTACAGCTCTGGGGCCGCGGCTCCCCTCGCCTCTGCCCCAGCTTTTTCAAAAACCGCAGCCCGGCAGGAGGTCCTGCCTGGCTCACCTCCGACCCGTCCCCGCCTACCCGACAGCTGTCACTCTTGCCCGCATTCCCACACCCTCCTTCGCTCCCAGCCACGCACATCGGGTCAATCAACATTACAGGAAAGGGTGTGAGATTAGGAAAACAGCTCGGGAGAGGGAATGAGCCCCCGCCGCTAACTCCTTAGCAGAGATTGGGACCACCACTGCTCAGGCCTTTGTGGAGCATGGCTGGGGACCCTTCCGACCGTGTAAACCGTGACTCAACATCCACATTCTAGTAAAAGTGTCTATGCGTGTGTTGGGGGGAGCTGTGTCTGAACGCTCCTGCTTCCAGGGGCCAGTCCCCACCTGACCTGTGTTTAAGGGGGGAAGTTACCTGTGCTCAGGCGATCTGACCCTCGATGTCTAGCATACTAGCCCCGAACCAGGGACCACGGGAAACCACAAAGAGGCGATTTTATTTCTGGGTGTTGCAGCGATCCCGCCATTACCACCACGGCACCCACAGAACTACAGGGATTTACTCCAAGGAGGTGAGAGCGAAGCCTAGGACTTCCCTGGGGACTTGAGAGGTGATTGGCAACACAAAGTTTCCCTCCAACTGTATCCCGGGGGAGCGCGGAGGCGGGAGACTGGACGACTTGACCCGGGGCTGAGCCTCTTTCTCCTCCAGCTCCCACAGCCCCCGTGACCTTCGACGCTGCCTCGGCCCATCCCGACCTCGTCCTCTCCCAGGATCTCAAAACGGTGACACTGGACCTCGCTCCTGCAGACAGTTCAGAGGACGCCGCGGGGCCGGAGAGTTTCTACCCGTTCCGGTGCGTGCTCGGCTCGCCCGGCTTCTCCTGCGGCCGCCACGCCTGGGAGGCGGAGCTAAGGGGGCCTCGGGGCGGGGCCTGCGTCGTGGGCGTGGCTTGGGAGCAGGTGGCGCGGCGGGGCTTCCTGACGGTGGAGCCCGAGAGCGGCTTCTGGGCGCTGCGCATCACCGACTCCGAGTGCCAGGCGCTCACCGGGCAAGACACCCGGAAGGATCTCCCGCTGCGTCCCAGGAAAGTGCGTGTCCGCGTGGACGTCGAGCTCGGGACGGTCGCCTTCTACGACGCCGCCACCAACACCCACCTCTACACGTTCCACGCCTCCTTCCCGGGGAAGATCTTCCCCTTCTTCAGGCTTCTGTTTCCCGGCACCCAGGTCATCCTGAATCCCTAGAGTCGTTGCTTTGCCTTCCTTCGCCTCCGGCTTCTCCGCGCCACCGCCTCAGTCCGGGGTGTGCAGTAGGGTTGAAGCCAGGCGTTCAGAAATTCCAGCCCTGACGTCTCTGATCCGACTTTAGATGTGCTCCCGGCCCCGGGCTCCGAAACCTAGTCTCTCGTCCCCAGTACACGCTCCCTCAGCCTGCAGTCCTCTCTTCACCGAGCCGATTCCAAGTCCTAAGCGAAGGGAGCGAAACGGGGCTCGGGCCGGCCTATAGAGCTCAGGATTGCAAGACTCAAGAGGATCCAGTGCTCGCCTCTGTAGCTGAGTCCTGATTGCTAGCCGCTGAGCTTTCCAGGATCTTCACTGAAGCCTGTAGACCCCAGACCGGCTGGAGCCCTCCTTGCTATCACATTTCCAGAGCATGCTGGCCTCCTGCTGCCGACCAATCCAAGGAAGCACCGGGAGCCAACCCCAGGCTGGCACAGGAGCTCCTCAGTTCTCTGGGAACTGAGCAACAGCTGCCCAGTTCCTTGGTCTGCACCTGGTAAAATCAACTACTGCCTTCCACCACCCTGGTGTTAGCAACTGGCTTGCTGCTTGTTGGGTGAGCAGACCCAGTGTTGGGGGCTCTAGAACAATTCCTCCAGCCAAGTCTGGGACATGTTCAGCTACACATATCCCCAGTGTGCCTGGAGATAAACCATGCATGCAGCTTTTTTTTTTTTTTTACAGCATTGTTTGTAATAGGACAAGACTGGAAATGATTAAAATGTCCATCAACAGGTGATGGTTGGAAAAACTGTGATGAGAAACCCGCCAGTTGCATTCTGGTTGACACAGGTGCAGGAGACTGGACAACTGACCACGGACAAACAGCCCTTTCCTCCTCTACCACCAAGCTCCTGAAGCTCTCATGGGCCTGAACTTGGCGTTGGCCCAGCTGGACATCATCCTTTCCTGATACCTGAAAACTAGGATACTGGACTTCTGTCTCTGAGCTACTCAGCTAGACTGTCCTTGTGTCTTCCATCCAGTTGGCAAATGAGGACTACCTGTATATTACTGTAGAATGACCACTAAGATCTATTACGTGAGAGAAGCAAGGTGGGGTCAGTACACATAGCATACTACATGCTACCTAAGGGGGAATATAGATACATGCATTTGTCTGCTTATGGTTATTTTTTAGGTAGGGGAACAAACCAAAACTAAATAAAGTGTTGCCTACAGGGGGAGGGAAAGCCAGATGGGAGGCATGGAAGTTAGTCTCTTCTGAGCATTTGACTTGTTCTGTGCATTTGACTTTGATACCATGTAAATATTTTCCATCATTATAAAGCAAAATAAGATTAAAATGAGACAAACTGACCTAGCTGTGTATGGTGTTGGTAGCTTACACAGCAGAGCGGACCGTCATTTGTGGCAAGTGCCTGGTGCAGCAGTTGTGTCAACAGCTCAGGTGCCTGCATGCTGTGTCAGAGTGCCTGGGTTTGAGTCCTGATTCCACTACTGAGTCCAGCTCTCTTCTAATGGTGCACCCTGGGAGGTAACAGCTGATAATGGCTCAAGTACTTGGGTCCCTGCCACCCACCCACATGACAGACCTGGCTTGTGTTCTGGGCTCCTGGTTTTTCCCCAGCTGTTGCAGGCATTTGGAAAGTGAATCAGTGGATGGAAGATCTCTCTCTCCCTCCTCCCCTCCCTCCCTCTCCAGCTCCCTGCTAATGCACCTGGGAAAGCAGTGGAAGATGGCCCAAGTGTTTATGCCCCTGCACCCATGTAGGAGACCTGGAAGAAGCTCCTGGCTCCTGGCTTTGCATTTCAGCCATTTGGGGAATGAACCAGTGGATGGAAGATCTCTCTCTCTCTCTCTCTCTCTCTGGAACTTCTGCCTTTCAAATAAATAAAATAAATCTTAGAAAAAGAATCACAAATAAACCTTAAACTTGTCAGTTATGTTGGTAATATTAGTATTACTACTCTGAACCTAATATGTATGTGTACACACACATATGGTAGTATAAAGTAATAATTATGCTCAAGCTACTGAGAATCAGGATTTCAGCCTATAACATAAGGGTTTCTTTTATGAAGATGACATAAAAGAATGGAAATAAACACACAGTAATGCTAAGTATGAATTGGAAATCAATATAAATCATGACATACTTTCTCTGAAAAATGATAAAACTTATTTCTTAGTTTTGTCCACAAAGACCCTAAACCTGACTAATCTGAAAACCACCAGATCTAGGTCTGCCAGAATCACTCTACCAACACCATGAAAACGCAGTCAGAAAAATCCCAGTTTGGGACTCACAAGACAAAGGACCAGTTTTCCTTATCAAAGAAATTTCTGTGGGGAAACATGTAAGCTTAAAGAGACTAGAGGACATACCTACCCAATGTAATGCCGGTCTTGCTTGGGTCTTGGTCTGGAAAAGTTTAAATTTTAAGAGTCTGGGACGGAAATGTGAACATTAATTTATATAAAAGAGCTGCATTCCACAGGGGTGATAACTGTAAAAGGAGTTATTTGCATGCTGAGATTTTCAGCAGTGGCATGAAAGCTGGAAGTGGCAGAAAGGTGAGTGGGAGGTCATCCTCGGACAGAGCGGTGGAGAACTGCTCATTGTTGAAGAGGGGAAGGGCGCCGGAACGCGCCAGGCTCCTACTGGGTACACTTGAGAATTCCTTTAAAAAAAGACATTGTTGGGCCGTCGCCCGAGGCTCACTAGGCTAATCCTCCACCTTGTGGCGCCGGCACACCGGGTTCTAGTCCCGGTCGGGGCGCCGGATTCTGTCCCGGTTGCCCCTCTTCCAGGCCAGCTCTCTGCTGTGGCCAGGGAAGTGCAGTGGAGGATGGCCCAGGTCCTTGGGCCCTGCACCCCATGGGAGACCAGGAGGAAGCACCTGGCTCCTGCCATCGGATCAGCGTGGTGTGCCGGCCGCAGCACGCTGGCCGCGGCGGTCATTGGAGGGTGAACCAACGGCAAAGGAAGACCTTTCTCACTGTCCACTCTGCCTGTCCAAAAAAAAAAAAAAAAAAAAAAAAAAAGACATTGTTTAAGCGCAGTCTCCCACCGTCACTGTTTGGGAATGAGTGTGATTCAGAACGCAGGCATCCCTCCGGAAGTGCGGCAGCGATGCTGACCGTCACCCACCTAGAGCGGGAGTGGACGTGGGGATTCCATGTTAGACAAACCCATCCTCCCGGGTAACCTCCCGCGGCCGCGGTGTCCCGTCCGCTGCCGCATCTTCATCTCTCCCAGTGTGACCACGAGACGGCCCCACGCGGGACTCAGAGCACTGCCCCTGTTTCGTGCATGATACCAACACCACCAACAAAGCAATAAAGGGCGCGAAAGGCAGAGGACGTCACGGACCCGGCGGGCCCCTTCCCCCGCCGCCGTCCTCGGCGCGGGCCGGGCGGGAGCGAGCCAACGCCCGAGCGCGGATTCCAGCAGCGCGCCGTCAGCCCTGGCCCGGCTCCCCCAGCCAGTTCCCCCGGTCGCCCGCGAGGCGCGGCCGATTACATAAGCCGCCCGGCCTCGCCTCACCTGCCGCGGGGCCGACCCCGGGCCGGAGATCCGCAGGGCGGCATCCGCACGCAGTACCATCAGAACCACGCCGGGCGGCCTAAGCGCCCTGCTCGCCGCCCTCAAAGTCGCTTGCAGTTCCCGTGGGCCGGCTCCATCTCGACCTCTTCCGGGACGTCCTCCGCAGGCAGGGTTTCCAGCTCCTCCAGTGCGAGGTGTGCACATTTCCGAAGTCATCCCGGCGGCTCTGTCACCGCAGCGATCCCGGTGGACCGTACCTCCTGGAGGACAGAGCAGCCTCTAACGCCTCTTCACTCTCTTGCCTTCCTTGCTCAGGAGGCCCCGGGTTGTAGTGAATGAATGGGTACTTTGTGGCAAGGGTTAAATCTGAAGTGGCCTGCTGGCCTGGACCTTAACCTGCTTGTTTGCTTGTTTGTTTTTAAAGTTTATTATTCATTTATTTGAAAGTCAGAGTTATGCACAGAGAGAAGGAGAGGCAGAGAGAGGGAGAGGGAGTTCTTCCATCCGCTGGTTCACTCCCCAGTTGGCCGCAATGGCCAGAGCTGTGTGGACCCAAAGCCAGGAGCCAAGAGCTTCCTCCAGGTCTCCCATGCGGGTGCAAGGGCCCAAGGACTTGGGCCGTCTTACACTGCTTTCCCATAGCAGAGAGCTGGATGGGAAGTGGAGCAGCTGGGACTCAAACCAGCACTCATATGGGATGCTGGCACTGCAGGCAGTGGCTTTACCCACTACATTACAGCGCTGGCCCCCTGGACCTTAACCTTGAACAGTAACCACCACTTCTTGGAGCCTGGGGAAAGGCAGGCCTCATCTTTCAGAAGCTGACTGATCTGAGGGCTTGCCTTTATTCAGTGTTTCAGCTGGGAAACCAAGTGGATGCTGAGCCCTTTCCAAGACGTAGGCTTCCATTCCCTAGTCCAGGACATTTTCTCTCCTCCACACAGTCTAACAGTACTAATAGCAAATCATTTAAGAGCTTGCCAGTGGGGTTGGTGTTGTGGTGCAGTGGGTTAAGCTGTCGTCTTCAATGCTGGCATCTTATATGGGCACTGGTTGGCTGCTCTGCTTGCAATCCACCTCCCTGCTAATGCACCTAGGAAGGCAGCAGAACATGGCCCTAGTTCTTGAGCCCCTGCACTCCACATGGGAGACCCAGAGGAAGCTCCTGGCTTCAGTTGTTGGGACCATTTGTGGATGAACCAGCAGAAGGAAGGTTCTCCCTCTCCCTCTCCCTCTCCACCCCCCCCCCATAACTCTGACTTTCAAATAATAATAATAATAATAATAATGAAAAGTGGGGCTGGCATTGTGGTGCAGTGGGTTAAGCAGTGCTGGCATCCCATATGAACACTAGTTAGGGTCCCAGCTGTTCCACTTCTGATCCAGCTCCTTGCTAATTCTCCTGGGAAAATAACAGAAGATGATCCAAGTGCTTGGGCCCTTGTTACTTTATGTGAGAGACCTGGATGGAGTTCCAGGTTCCTGATTTCCACTTAGCCCAGCCCAGGCTGTTGGCAGCCAATTGGGGAGTGAACCAGTGAATGGAAGATCTCTCTCTCTCTCTCTCTCTCTCTCTCTCTCTCCTTCCCTCCCCCCCTTCTTCCCTCCCTCCCTCCCTGTCTCTCCTTCTCCTTCTCTCTCTATAACTCTACCTTTCAAATAAGTAAATAAATCTTTAAAAATTAAGAAAAGCTCAGGGCCAGCACTGTGGCATAGCAGGTAAAGCCACCTCCTGCAGTGCCGGCCTCCTATATGGGCACTGGTTCAAGTCCCCGCTGCTCCACTTCCAATCCAGCTATCTGCTATGGCCTGGGAAAGCAATAGAAGATGGTCCAAGTCCTTGGGCCCCTGCACCAACATGGGAGACCTGGAAGAAGCTCCTGGCTCCTGACTTCAGATCAGCACAGCTCTGGCCGTTGTGGCCATCTGGGGAGTGAACAAGCACATGGAAGACCTCCCTCTGTCTCTGCCTCTGCCTCTCTGTAATTCTGCCTTTCAAATAAGCAAATAAATCTTTTCAAAAATTAAGAAAAGCTCAGCAATTTATTAAATGATTTCAGAGACACTATTCTGTTTACTCCTCATAATCTCTAGAATTAGGTATCCTTGCATCCACATTCTGAATATGATGCAGTTGCTCCAGTTCAAGTCTTTTGACCAAAAGTATATACAAAAATCATCTTGAAATAGTAAAGTCCTTAAAATACAAGCATATGGTCGAATGGCTACACTGAATAAAAACCTTTCCATGGCCCCCCTCCAACCTTAACGCCTGTGTTGGTTTCCTGGAGCTGCAGAGAACCACCATAGGCTGGGTGGTGGCAAACAACAGAATCAAGTTCTCTTGCAGCTCTGAAAGCCAAGAATCTGAAGTCACTGTGTCAGCAGAGCCGTGTTCCCTCTGGCAGATCTGAGGAAGTTCCTTCTGTCTTCTAGCTGCTGGTGTTTGCTGGCAGTCGTCAGTACTCCTCAGCTTGTAGAGGTGACACTGGAGTCTCCACCTGCATTTTCACAAGGCATTCTCCTCTGTGGCCCTCTTCTTTCTTTATTTATTTGAAAGGCAGAATACAGAGAGAGGAGAGGGGAGAGGGGAGAAGAGGTGAAGGAGGGTGGGGGGGGAGAGAGAGAGAACCTCCATTTGCTGGTTCACTCCCCTAAATGGATGCAACAGCTGGGGTTGGGCCTGGCTGAAGCCAGGAATCAGGAGATTCTTCCAGATCTCCTTTGTGGGTACAGGGGCCCAAGCACTGAGGCCATTTTCCAGTGCTTTCTCAGGCCATTAGCAGGGAGCTGAATTGGAAGTGAAACAGCCAGGACTTGAACCGGCACCCATATGGGATGCCAGCACTGCAGGCAGAGGCTTAACCTTCTACACCACAGCTCCAGCCCCATGACCTTCTTCTCATAAGAAGCATATTGGATTGATATAAGAAGTCACAGTGGATCTAGACACAGTCTAATCCAATGTGACCTCATTTTAACTTGATTACAGCTTACAAGTCCTTATTCCCAAGTAAAGTCACATCGATAGGTACTTGGGGTTGGCACTTCAACATACTGTATCTTTTGGGCAGACACAAGTCAGTCTAGAAGTGTTATTTCTTAGCAACTGGAAATTGAAGGTCTAAAAGCGAGAAAGCATGGCCTTGGAAGAGAGAGCCAAGGAAAGACTTGAGGGGAGCTGAGCTGAGGCAGAGGAAGATGAACTTACTGTCCAGGTAGAGTTTGGGTGTCTGGGCTGGGAACCAGAGGAAGGAAGCAGATAGAGGAGGAAAGTACATAGCAAGGCTGAGAAGGCACCAGGAAGGCAGAAGAGCTGCT